GGGCCTTTTGTGACACTGGTTGTTTTTGTTACTCCTCACCCGAGGACATTTTCCACTGATTTTAGAAAGACTGGAAGGGAGGGGGAGAGACAGACAGAGAGAACATCGATGGGAGACACACAGACTGTTTGCCTCTCACATGAGCCCCAACCAGGGCCGGGACCCAGCCTGCAAGTGAGGTACGTGCCCTTGACCGGATGGAACCTGGTACCCTTCAGTCCACAGGCCGACGCTCTACCCATTGAGCCGAACTGGCCAGGGCCACACCGATGTTTTAAGTGGCCAAGCAGGAAGCCCTTCAGGTGACTTTACAGGGGACAGCAAGGTCCCCAAATGACCTGGCGCCTGGGTGCGCTGAGGTCACGCTGTCTTCCAGGCAAATCGCCCGCGGGGCGACCTTCTGGTGCACAAGGTGACACTCCAACCACTGAGCCACCCGGCCAGGCACATGGCTCCAGATCCCAGGTTTCCACCACACTCACGCCACCGCCTGGAGCCTAAGAGGGAGCGTGGAGGGGAGGCTGGCCTGGGTCAGCCGGGCCATGGAGACAAGAACAGTCGCTGCTTTGGTTCCTGTGTCCCTCACTCCCCCCTGGACAGAGGCCTGGCTGGCAGGACACTCGCTCTTGGGGCTCTGGCCCCAGGCAGGCGGCTGTGGCCATTCTGGCCCGGATTCCCGACGGCAGCCTTCAACCCCTCTCTCAGGCTCTGAGTCAGGCTGAGGACTCCCTTCAACCACAGCAGCTATTCTATCTGCTTCATCTAAAGGAAGTGTGAGAACCACCATCCTCGGCCTCCATTCTGCCTGCCCACCTTGGGGTCGCCCGCCCACCTCATGGGTCCGCCTGCCCACCTCGGGGTCTGCCTAGCCCACCTCAGGGTCCACCTGCTCACCTCGGGGTCCACCTGCCCACTTCGTGGTCCACCTGCCCACCTTGGGGCCCGCCTGCCCACCTCACGGTCCACCTGCCCACCTTGGGGTCCGCAGGGCGCGCTAACAGGGGGTCTGGCTTTGCCCCAGGACAAGCATCTTTTCTTGACAGAGAATCCGGGAAGGCACCTGCCCTACTTTAGCCCGTCCCCCAGGAGGCCCTCAGCCGCCAGCTCGGCAGCCCTCGCACCCTGAGGCCAGCCTGGCACAGGGGCCCCCTGACCTGGTCCGGCCTCTCCAGGCTTCCCCGACAGCTTCATTTGCTGGTGCCAGGCTTGCCCACCCCTTCTCCCACCTTCATCGCCAAACCACAGGGTCTCCCACAGCTCGCTCCAGGGCGGGGTCTCCCCAGAGCAAAAGGGGGGCAGGCCCTTTCCCTTCTCTCAGACCAGGTGCCCAGGGCCCCCTGCCTGCTGCCCACCATTCCCACCCGCTGAGGGCGTGGGGAGGGGCAGCAGGGTCCGGGGACCAAAGTTCCCGGGACTCAGTCCAGAGGGCGAGCCCACGGGAGGCCACTGCCACTCCACGGGCGGCGGAGGGGCCTGGGGAAGCAGGTCAAGGCCTCTACGTGGGGAAGGGGCGCCAGAAGTGCCCTCCCCCCTCCCCCGAGGGCGGGCCTGAGGCAGGAGTAGGGGTGTGGCTGGCCTGGGCCGAGGAAGG